CTGCACAAGAATTTTTCCCCGCATTTATCCGAAAAATGACTCGTGCAACAGTACTTTTTCCTACTCTTTGCGGTACATTTCGCCTGGAAAGACCATCTAAACCCACTTTAGTGTGCGAGCACGGTAATTTTTCTCGTATATTTCTCCCCGTGTAGTTTAAAAATCTAACAATCTAAATTTCATGGAGAGCTCAAAAGTCCTTTTTATAAGGGTGACATTCAATTCGATTCACGGGAAAAAAATCATAAAATTTAAAATTTTACAGATTATTCCCTCATCTGAATGTCACTCAATAGAAATTTAGTATTTGACTTTTTGCGGAGGACTGAAGGTAGAATTATTATTTCCATTTAGTCACATAGCCACCTTGAATGAAGGTTTTCTGTTGAAATAAATGAAGACTGGTATGAATATGGCTTCAATCCGGAAAAGTTCTTCCCTTTCCATATCAACGAAATCCCAATTGAACAACCGCCGCCCCCCCCCTCCATTAAGACCTTACGCCCTATGTAAAATCTACATAAGACCCCGATTTAGAATCCTCACATGTTAACAAAATCGTCCTTTCACACCCCCGCGTATATAAACCTCTCGCCATTGATGAATCCCTTTCTTCAATCATGTGGAAGAACCGACTTGAATCAGACCGATGTTTCAACTTAATTCAGGACGACTTTTTGGGTGTAGTAACATAATATACATTTTTGCGATGAAGTAAATTTTTTTACTCTAAATAATAGTAATATCCCAATGCAAAATTTGTGATATAAATAAAGAGAGACTGTGATTAATATTCTGTGACAGCAGAGGAAAAAAATAACAAGATTTTTCTAGTATTATAGATGCACTATAAAAATGAATTTCCGATTCACCGAAAACAATAAAGCAGACAAACTGTCACTTCAAGTTTGAATTATTAACAATTAATTGAATTATCGACTAAACTTCCCAAGAATATTTATAACGGTGTTGGGTCGAACTTTTACCAGAGTATCAAAGAACATTGAATTGCTGAAATGTACTTTCTAAATTTTGTTCAACAATAAATTGCATTCTTATTAGGATTAAAATCTTACTTAGTGAGCGTGGGAGTTAAAAGATGAAAAATTATTCATTGCAATATGAAAATTGGATTCATCGCTTTATGCAATGAGAATGATTATAAACAATGAATTAGAAAAATAAAATATCAAATCAGACAGGAAATAGGTAGTAACGAGAGGGCATCAACATGGGGCTAGTTCCAAGAAAATAGTATGAAGATAGGACATTACTCAGGAAACTATTAAATAATTGAATATCCAAAATAATCCTCCAGATTTTACATTACAGCTGATAAGAATTGTTACCCCTTACGTGCATTAACAAAATCAGAAAATATTCATGGTAACGATGAGGGGAATCCTAATAATTTAGACTAGAAATGTGTTCGACCCAATAAATCAAAAGAAACCCAAAGAAAATTATATGAAGAAGGAGCATATATATGGATGCGGATCGTTATAAAGTTATAACGTTGGTATAGTCCAAAAGTTTTGTGAAAAGTTTCACGAAAAAGTTTTCTGGATCCGAAGACACCGAGAAGGGATGCGCGGTGCTGAGAGAATGAGCAGGGGAATATATAGTCGTGATGCAATAAAATAGCGCCACCCACCGGGTCCACCGGGTTGTTATCTCCTTGGCATCAACGGCAATGCCTCACTTTACTTCGCCTCCTGTTATGTGGCCCAGCGTTAAAGTAACAAAGAGAGTAAGAGAAACAGAATGTTGAGGATAAAAGAGAGATAACGATAGTTTAGCTTCGGGGGACTGATACCAAACACAGTACAGAGGGTACCATCAGAGTGCATAATGAACTCGTTAATTAACTATCAGGAAGCTCGATCAAATCTGATAAGGAGTCTGCCACACGACTATCGCTGACCAGTAGCTTTTACGATGAATTTGTTGCAGGTGGAAGTAATCGTTTGAATTTCCTAAAATCAGTTATTCTCGCTTTTAAAAACACATCAGACTGCACTGATTGATAGGCGATTAATAATAGCCCAGTTTTTCCTTAATCGAGAAGTCTACGGTTGCGGGTGGCATCGGAGGACCGGTAGACTGCTTAATAATATGGTTTTATTCAGGCTCCCGACGCCGACGCCTCCAGCTATCGCGTTCTCCTCTTTTTTCGAGGAGAAAGGTAGTTCGAGGGTAGAAGAGGCTAGCGCATAGATCCCCAATTGTTTTTAATGGAATAAAAAAAAATAGTTCATGATGAACTCATGTGTAAATAAATTTCCGAGAAGATGTATATGAAGCACTCGCGTGTTAACACTGCGCTCATTTGCCTGGTATACAATTACACACAAATTGCCGCTTTTCCTTTTATTCCACCACTTCTCAAGCTGAGCACGAATGAAGTAGGAATTAACATGAAGCTACCACGTTTGCATGGGTATCGGAGGTGAGATCTCGGTTGACTCTTTGATGAGGGATAATCATAACGATGACTCGATGAGTTCACATTCTGTATTCCCACAGTGGAGGAGGTTCTGTTAGGGATCAGAAGGGAATGGTTGTGTTTTCAAAAGTATTGTTCGACCAAGTGGAAAATTTGTACAAAAAATATAAGATGTTTTGTGCGAGTGTTCTGTTTAGAGGTAGTCATTGATAGATTGAGATAACCGAGATACAGATTGATGTTCCATGTGTAGGTGTATGAACTTGGTCAAGGAGTAGGTGTGTGAGGCATGTTTGCAGTATTATTTATGTCTCGAATGGGATATGAACCTTCATCTGGGAAGATTTCGATTGCTGCGGCCCTTATAGGAATAAGATATATACAGCACTTATATCTAGCATATATTTGGCATACCACATTTTTGGCCGAAAATATATCTGAGATATATTGCAGATATATGTTAAATATTTTACATCGAGATATATGTGCATATTTATATCTAGTATATATCTGGCATATGACATTTTTGGCCGAAATGTAAGTAAAATATACTGAGATATATGTCCGGATATATGTTCTTTCCATGAGGGGGCACCGCTATTTGACATATGTTTTCCGTACTATTTTTTCTCGGGAATACGGGAATAATAAAGGAAAAATTCCTCTCAATTAGTTTTTGGGATATGAGCATTTCAATCCTTATTTTTTAAAATACAAACATTTGCATAAAGCTTCTTTTATTTCAGACACCAATTCATGCACTGAGATTCCTACATTTGAATTAAATGATGCCTTTCGGCCCTCGAGCCTTTTGCCTTTTTTTCACTTCGGATATCACCCAACCCACTCGTCAGGAATGTCTAACTTTCCGCCCTTGGTGCACAGTATACTATTCTTTGTGTACTTTTTCACCCTATATCGGGGAACAATGTGAGACGAACAGTGAATTCTTCTCCATTGGCCGAAACTATAAAATTTACCCGTATTCCATCGAAAATTATCCCACCGAACGTGAATGATTATTCAATATTGCGTATAATTTTTCTCTAATAGGGAATGATTTTTTACCGAACGCGTTCCGTAAAATTTTACTTCCTTTCGTCCCGATGACCTTCAGATGGGTACAAGAAAAAAAATACCCCATGGGTGTGTGAAATTTTACTATACAGGAGGATAATTTTTGCATCCAGAGACATTTTTTTTCGAAAATATTCTCCACAAACAGGTATTTTTTGATTGAATTACATTTCGCTCCACGATTACCTTTCATACAGTAAAATTTGTCACGATGTTGTAATTTTTATCCAACTTTTCTCTCTGTGCAGCTGTCAGGGGTTGGCACATTCACCATTGAATTGAATACTTCATCTCCAGACACAAAATCTCAACTGGACCTGTCCAAATGAATTCAGTACTCATAATTTTTTAAAAAGAACCCCCCTCCCCCCAACTCTGGCAACCGTCAATTAAAAAAAACAATGCAATATAGAATTAAATATGTAAATTGTTCTCCGTAATCACACCAACAATATGAATTCCAGCAGCCCACACACAGTGCGAATGATGAAGTTTTTATTGTCGAAGAGAAGGAGGTGTACACACGGTGAATAAACGATTAAGCTGTGCGGCTCACTCACTGACCTAGCGTGCACCTGGTGCGCTTCCGCGCGAAACCACATGCCGACAGGAAATCGCGATTCCTATGTACACACCTCTCCCTCACCCCTTTGCCCCTTCAGCAGGCCATTGACGTTCAGTCCCTCGGTGTTAATGTCCACTTCCCGAAATTGTCATAAAATAAAATTATTAATACACCGGTGTCTCCTGCAAATTTCTCATGTAAATGCATAACCACGAAAATACTCATACAGTAGTGATATAGAACCCGGAAACTGTGGCTTTCTAATCCTGACTGTGTAATTTGGAATTTCACAAAAATCATCCTTATTTCAATTATTTTGCTTAAATTAATCCACCTCTTTTATTTTTAGTTAATCATCACGGCATCTAGTAATGATGAGGACGAGACGAATGGTTACTGCGACGATGAGCCGGAAGTCGCTGGAAACACGCACGCGCATCGCACATTGAACCTGGAGATGTGTTTGTATCTCGTCGATCGTAGGATAGAGGCGACTATATTATAACGTCCGACTCGTCTTCCTGTCACATCTCATTACCATGGACAGTGGTTATGACAATTAGCATGGTAATTAATGAAATTGTGGTTTTCGTTGTTATTTGTTATTGTAACGTTGTAATATTGAAGGAAGACGAGATTACGTTTGTGTTTTCTTTTACGATTAGTGGGAGACAGTTGTGCGATGCATTGTCATGTCGTCTGGTTGTTCATATTCAATTATGACTAATTAGGCAAGTCGGATAATTATACTTTATACGAGAACGTCGACAGACACCATTTGCTGCCGTGAAAGCTCTCAGTGATTTATTGCTGAGGGAATTTATTGTGACTTTCATTTGTTTTTGTTTTACGTGAGGGGTTTTATGTGGTTAGGAAATCTAAATTTATTCTGGTATTTTATTAAAGTTTGTGATGGCTGGGGAAATTAGAGAAGCACTTCTGTATGATTTCAATTATAGTTTCTTTGTTGCTAATACGATGTTGCCGAATGTGAGAAATGTTGAGGGTGAGTGATGATGTTGATAGGGGCGAGTAGAGCCAAATGGACACACTGAGAGAAAAAATTACTTTTACTACGGAATCATTTTCTTGGGAGAAGAATTAATTTTTGTAGGGCGCATTTCTTCAGGCCCGTCATTCCCAGGTGGTCCATGTGTATTATGCTACATATGATCGTGAATGAACACCGTTCATTATTTGTCAATTTTTTCAAATTTGAGATTTTCTTACGTAAAATAATTTGGAATAATTCTCAATGTTAATCGTTGTAAATGGAATTCAACATAATTGTAATATTTAGAGATAGGCTTGGACCACTCGAGAATGACTGGCCTGGAGAAATGCGTCCCTAAAAAATAAATTCTCCTCCCAAGACAATGTTTCCTTGGCAAAAAATTTTTTTTTCTGCGCGCACTTTGTTTTTTTTTTAATGTTGATGATTCATTGAATTTCAAGTGAAATTCAATGACTTTTCTTCATGGAAAGTACCCTCTTTCCCTTTTGTAATAAATCTGAATCGAACTAAATTGATGAATTTGTCCATGAATTATGAACATTAAAAATAATGTCAAATGTGTTCATTTTGCTCCACTCTGCCTTACACTGAGAGAAAAACAAAGAAATTCTCAAACAAGTCTTGTTTGGGCCAACGAAATCGTTAGTTGAAAACCACCAAAAAAGTAATTGTTTGATTCAAATTTGAAAGTCTCAAACATGAATAATTGCTCTGCTTTCAACAACGATGAAATATTTGGCTCAAGAGGCGGATCATCCATAAAAGGCGGTACCTTTTCAGGATAAAGATATCTTTTACAGAGGGAAGTTTATCAAGAAATATGTTCTCCCCAAGTTATAAGATTGCTGTCATATCATTATTATTAATTTATTTAAGAACTCATTTTTGTCTGTGATTATTGAATAGCTGAAACGACATAATGCCATCCCTCGTTTCATATAAAACGAGCATTTGTCGGGAGAAAATACGTATAGGAGTATCGAATAACGAGAAAGTAATGCTAGAAATTCCATTTCTTCTTTGCACAGAGAATAAATTTTTTTTGAAAAAACTAACTCTATTTTTGCAATAAAAATGTTCAATCTCGACACGCGCTTCGCATGTTTCGCACAAAAAAATCCTTTTTTGACCATTTTTAATATACGATTTTTTTGGCACAAGTAAGACTTGTTTGAGAATTGCTGTTTTTCTCTCAGTGTTCCACTCCTGGACTTTTTTCATGTGTTTGCCTTATTTTAGAGAGACAAAATGTTTTTAAATGGCTGAGATTTCTGAAGACTAGTGCGAAGACACTTCAAGAGTTGAAGCTGAGAAATGAATTCATGAATCATTTGGTTAAAGGTGTTCGAGCTGGAGTGCTGTCTGCGCCTTTTGATAATCCTCCATCGAATATTCCACTGATGTCGATGATTTCAATGCTGGTATTGGAAACAAGTAAATAAAATTATTTAAAGAAATGATTTCTCACTATCTTCATGTGTCTAGCCACCAGTAGACTTCGATGATGAAGACCCAACAGTTTGTCGAGGATCTCCCAGAAACTCTGCGATAATGCAAAGGTCTCCAGATGCTGGGGATTTCCTTGCAGCACAGCCAATTCCTGATGTTGGTGCTTTTTGTTACGTTGCAGTTCTCACCAAGAAGAATAACTAAATTTGAATAATATTGTTTGTAGCAATAAAATAATGCAAAGACGACACGTCAAATGATTATTTTAACCGTCGTTTAATATTTATTATGTGTTTGGGGCTTAGAATTGACGAGAATATTGCTGAATTGCGAGGCTCAGAGTGAAGACGTTATGAGAATCAACACTAGTGAGTAAAGTTAGTAATAAAGTATTGATAAGAATATCTGTAAAATATTTTTGTGGATGATTTTCTAAATATTTTTCGGGGGAAGCGGAGCAGAGCATTTCATTGGAGGATATTTTTTTATAAAAAATTTCATAAATAATAAAAAACTGTTATTTTTGAAATTTTGCATGATTTTGAAGATGTTTTCAGAATAATTTACATGCAATATTTAAAATCTTTTTTTCTGGTCACCGCTTTAAGACAAAATTCATGCATTAATGGTCAAAAGTCTAGCTGAAAGTATCCAGTGATAGGTTGATGTCTTCATCTTGAATAAGCCGTTGACATGCATGGTTTCTCTCATACATACAAAGCACGATGAGAGAAAATCGACTCTTCCTCAACGTATTTTACGTCTTTTTAAGGGTATCCCACCCTCTCCTACCTAGGAGACAAAATAACTCCACTACACAGAGAAAACAAGTTTTGATTTTACGGACATGTCACTGAGTTTCCAAAATTTATCCCCAATTATTAAGGATTCACGATTGTGTAATTCAGTTAGTGCAAAATTCTTATCACTGATTTCCCGTGACGTCGTCACTAATTTTGAAGGATCCATCTCTAATTTTAGGGAATCTATCACCAAATTTCAGTGATATAAATCACTGATGATTAGGGTCCTTCTAATTGGTGTCTAGTATCAGCAATAACTGGTGTGACACATTTTCCGGAAAAACCGTGACATGCTCCTGAAAATTAAAATTTCTTCTCTATGTAGGGAAAACGCGGGGAGTAGAATATCCCGTTGCAGGGGTAAAGAACACACGAAAAATGATAAATAATCCATACATTGAAGTTATTCTATCTCTTATAATAGGCGGAAAGGGCTGGAATAGAATGAGGAAAAGGTGAAATTAATGTATAATGGTGAAAAGTGAAATAGCAGAGACCTATTAGGTCATTATTTTTCGTGTTTGCAATCAATTCACATATATATATATATATATATATATATATATATATATATATATATATATATATATATTTAGCAGAACATCGATATTTAATCGACACTTTAGTAGCAATATTAATCACGTACAAAAATGTTCATGACCACGGCCATGGCCTTTGCCATGGCCTTTGACCTTTGTGCCCGTGCGGCCACCTGGGACCTTTAAGGTTATAAGGGCCATAAAAGTCACAAGGTACAATAAGGTTACGAGGGTCAAGAGGGTCAAACTCCCTTACTTGATTATTTGATTATAAGTTGTTTTTTTTCATGGCAACACCATGGCAACTCCATAGCAAAGGCCATGGCAACTCCATGACAAAGGCCATGGCAACGCCATGGCAAGCGGCCAAAAGACCACGGCGCGCCATGGCCGTGGCCATGAACATTTTTGTTTTTATTTTTTAAAAAATTAAAAAATGTCACTGAAAATTGCATGGAATTCAAAATTTTTAAGTCAGCAGAAAAATGAAAATTCTCCAACTTACTTTAATTTTCAATTTAAACATGACTTTTCAGTACCAAATTATGCTGAGTTTTCAATTAGTTAAAAAGTCAACAATATACAGGGTGTAACTATATCGGTGGAAGACCTTGCGGCCACAGGTTCAGAAAGACCCCCTGAATGCTAGAAAAATCGAAAAAAAATTATTTGATCAGGCTCTTTTGAATAATTAATAATTAACGTGAGCCAATGAGGAGCCCGGGTTATGGCGGAGAGAAGTGAATGGCAGAGGTCGACTGATCTGTGGCAACACCGCGTTATGGGGACGTCAGAACATGATAGTCGAGTGACTACCCGGGTAGAAATTCAACCGGGGATTCAGCCGCAACTCGGGTGAGCGCGAGCTCAGCCTCGGCTTGCCGCTTGACCCGAGTTCACGCCGCGACACGCCGCTCCATACCGGCTCACAGTCGAACGCTCATCAGACGGCATAACCCGGCACTTGAGTTTGAGCTGTGGCTCAACGCTTAGAACTCAGCTCCGATTGAGTCGTGTCGTTTCGAGTGGAGGGTGGAATAGAATGATATTTATGCATTTTTAGAATATCGATTTAAAATTTGAATACTTTGGAAAATCCTTGTCTTCTTACTATAAAAAAAAAATGGAATTCCACTGAACTTTCTATAAAATTTGAAATTTACTGATTTTTCCCTCTGTCATCGAATATAAAACCTGGCACTTTCTCTAAGAATTCCTATTGAATTTCTATTGGAGCTCTCTGAGAATTCTATTTAAGTTTGATTGCAATTCTATTGAAAAATTCTATTGTTTTTGCGTTAATAAAATTATGAAACTTTCCCCTGCATTTTTAATAGATATTTGTTTGTAGAAAAAAATCCATTGATTTTTCTAGATAATTTATTCTGTTAGGATTTCTTCCACAGAAACTATTGGGCATGAATTTTCCAAGTTTTGTTCCTGCATTTGATTAAAAGAAAAGAAGAAAAACCGAGCGGAAAAAACTTAGAAATCTTACGCCTAAGAAAATCTATAGGAACATAAAAACCTATTTACTTTCTTGCACCAAATTTTACCTTAACAAAAAGACTCTATGAAGTTGCATAATCTCCTATAGAATCGGCGCAAGAAACGAATAGAATTCTAATAGAACTTCCAGAGAATTCTCATAGAATTCCAATAGAAATTTAATAGAAAGCGCTAGGTTTTTCTGTTGAATTTTTTCATGCGTGTTATTTTGGCATACCTGTATTCAACATTTCCCTAATAAATCGTAGAATATTCTTAGAACTCGTAGGCCTATCGAAAAATGAAGAATATCCTCTCCTGTAGCATTGATAATTAATAATAAAGGTTCGTTAACGTTTTTCAAGTGATTATTTTTCTTGATTTTGTTTGTTGTATTCGCGAGAAAAAAGAAAGTTTTGACTACGTTTCAGTGAATTGTTCTACCTTGTATTTTCAGATTAATCCCATTCGATTAGTTAATATCACGTTATTTCTGATGAGCTTGTGATTGTTCATCTGAAAAAGCATGCCATCTTCACATTTATTCGATTGTTTTTTCGCTCAAATCACGATGCCATCGGACCTGTCAAATCATTATTGAGGTTAAGTATACTGGGATTGAGTAATTGGAGATGAACCTGAGGTTGAGCAGTGGCGATTCAACTAAAGCCCGGCGAAGCGTTTCGCGTAATAGTCTAACGCTGGGCTGTGAGCGCGTGACGCGGCTCATCCTCGGGTACATGTGACGCGCGTGGAGTTTATCCCAAGCTGGGGCGGAGTGGCGTATTTCTAGCTGGGATACGGGTTCCGAGCCGAGCTCGAGTGGCGTGATTTCTACCCGGGTGTTCCGCCGTCAATTCGGATTCAATATCAGGAAGTGGCGCGCTCGGGCAGTAAAATTGAGAATTATTGAAAATTCATTTAAACGACAATAAACATCCAGATAACCATGAGGACATTAATTTTTGGATGGATGCACACAGATGTACTATTCATGTGCAATCTGTGCACCACGAATGCGCAAATGTGCATTTATTAATTTATGTGCAATAGGTATAAAACAGGTGCACGACTAGTGCGTAATAGATGCGCCACAAGTGTACTACGCGTGCACAATAGGTACGCCTCAATTGCAATAGAAGTGCACAATCGATGCGCTACAGGTGCACTACTCGTGCGCAACTGGTGCGGAATACGCGCTTCACTCTTGCGCAATCGATCCATCTTATGTATACTAGTGATGCACAATTGGTATGCCACGAGTGCACTACTTGTGTACAGGTAGTTTGCCACAAGCGCACTACTCATGCGCAGTCATTGCACCACAATTCCCACGTACGAAATGCCAGTGTTGTAGAAACGGGCCAAGCCTGGCACAAGCCTGGGCTTGCCAAGTCTGGGCGCCCAGGCTTGGACCGAGGTTCGGCCATCCCTGGGGACCAGGGCTTGAGTCTCGGGAGAAGGGCGGGTAACCGAGCCTTGGTTGACAGATCTGGCCCTGCCTTGGCCGGACATTGGCATGCCGGACCTCGATAACCAAGCCTCAGCCAGCGGTGGCCCGGAGCTTGGTCNTAAGTCGTAAGGGTGAGATGATGAGAATGGAATCATAGGGGTGGAATCATAAGGGTAAAATCTGAAGAGTAAAATTGTAAGGGTCAAATCGCAATAATGGAAAGGGGCGAAAAAGCCTTATGCTGACATTCTGAGGGTTGAATGTTAAGGGTGGAAACTTGAGGGTAAAATGTTAAGGGTGTAATCGTAAAAAAATGGTGACATTGTAGGTGTTGAAGTCACATGTTACTCGCTAATTATTACGAAAAGAAGAAGAATCGTCATTCAACAGTAATCCTAATTGTTACAATTATTATTGTAATTAATAATAATAATTATTATTATTCATTATTGAATTAATTTACCGATTAAACTGTAGTTGAATCACTGAATATTTCTATCAACTGAATAATAAAACATTCAAGTCGAAAAAAACCGAGATGGAATTAATATGGACGATTTGAAGTAGAGGTTTTACGAATTGCGCGGTAGACTAGTGGTTAGGGCGTCGGATTAGTAGTCGTGAGGTCGTGGGTTCGAGCCCACGTTAGGGGGTAATATTTTAAGTTAACAAAATCGGTTTTTCAGCGATGATTGCGTTAGGGTTTGGTAGGTAGGGCACAATGAATACTAAAAATCATCCTAAAAAATGTTAATTATTTTGTTTTTGATATTATTGATAATTGCCATGAACAGTTTGGCAGCCAGTGCGGCACCAGTCGCATGCCGGTATTGATTTTTTTTCCTCGTTGAACCTATTACGAATGCTGAGGAGTAATATTAAATTACTTGTATTTCAATCACCCATATTATCATATTCATG